GCTACTCAGGAGGCTGAGATCTGAGGACCACAGTTCAAAGCCAGCTGGGGAAGGAAAGTCCATGAGACTCTTATCTCCAAATAGCCACCAGAAAACTGGAAGTGGTACTGTGGCTCAAGTGGAAGAGCACTAACTAGCCTTGAGCTGAAGAGCTTAGGGATAGTGCCAAAGCCTGGACTTCTGGACTTCAAGCCCCATGGCTGACAAAAAAAAGGAAAAAAAATTATGAATGCCTTAGATATTAATAGGAAATGGTGTCATAGTAAAAACATGTATTAGAATGTATTATGTCTTTTGTTGACTGATTATTTCAACCTAACTGAAAAAGTTTTTGCAAACTAGATGATTAGTCTTAGGAATAATCATGAAACATTCGTATTTACTTATTGAGTGTAAGGAAGGTGAGCTGTACTCAAATGGTTAAGTGTTTATAATCACCTATTTTTTTATTGTGAAAACTGCTAGTTTTATGGACACTAAGGGGGTGGCAAAATTATTTGCTAAAGCATTTTGGTGTTGATGTAATAATAAATTAGTGAAAATAAAATTTCATTATTATGGTCATCGATTTAATAATTGCTTGATGCTGTAACCAAAGCACATAGTAGAAAAATGAGCTAATATGTATTACTCTGAATAATGTGGAACACAGGACACAGACTTTCTACAGAGGACCTAGCTGCCTACATAGCAAACCCGTTATAATCCATTGATCTTTTTGTTGAAGTGGGCTGGCATTAAAATGTAATATTTCACAGTCAAGATAAATATCCCCTCCCTCAAGATTCATCCATAAAGTTGCCTACTATTTTCTGTTAATGGAGAACAGGAAATTCCTTCCTGACCTTGCAAATGATCATTTCTTTCTTGAAGCATGAGATTTGATTGCCCTTGCAATCTTGGCTCACACTTACTTGCCTGCATTGTGAAGAACAGTTCCTTTCTCAGTCAGAGTGATTGACTCTATGACCTTCTACAGAAATGAATTCCAAACACAGATGATGCATTGAAAAACGGAGATGGGTGTTCTTTGATGCTAGATAGTCAGAGTATTGAGCTAGGAACATCCTCCTCTGATTTCTCTGTAAATGCAAATCTATCTAGGTCAGAGAATACATATCCACATAGTCCCAGGAAGCATTTGCCCTATGAAATTGCACTTAAAATCCCAGAGTCGATGCCAATATACCTTTTTTGCCTCTGTGCATTATGGAAAACAGGGAATATTTTCCAACATGCTTGGCTGGAGAAAAACAGCCATTTGGGGAAATTATTCAGGCATTTGTTTTAACTGTGTGATGTTTTATATGTACCCAGGTAAAAAACTCAGATTTGCTTTATTAATTTGTTGATATAGAAATTTATACAATGTTTTATGGTTTGTATTTTGTTTCAGGGTTAAAGTTGTCTTATCTACTTATTTGCTTTGGTTAATAGTCCTAGAAATAGATAAGTGTTTTTGTTATTGATGGAAGTCTCCATTGATTCTGAAAGTATTGAGGTAATACACATAAAATATGTAGGAAACCGTTTTTGAGTATTGTGACCCGGGGATATTCCAGTGCTAGTAATTGGAAGGGAGATAGAAGCAGAGCATTAATTACAAATCAGGCTTACCAACTGTGTGTTTGTATTTGTGTGTGTGTGTGTGTGTGTGTGTGTGTGTGTGTGTGTGTTTGCCCCAGTATTGGGTCTTGGAGCTTCACACTCTGACTTGGCTAGTTTTGCTCAAGGCTGGCACTGTACCTCTTGAGCCACATCTCTACTTCTTTCTGTGGTTTCTTGGCAACAGGAGTATCATAGATTTTTTCCTACCTGGGTTGGTTTTGAACCACCATCCTCCGATCTCAGCCTCCTGAGTAGCTGTGAGCCATTGGTGCCCTGCAGATGTATCATCCCCTCCCCTTCCCTCTCCCACCTAAGGAATCTTAGGTAAAGTTTGAACCGACAAAAGTTGTTAATTTTATTTCATTTGGTTTATATGTTTGAATGTTTAAAAAGGGACACCTCCAAACATTTATAAAGAAACTCTTCAGTATTTTTATTTTTCCAAGTGTGTGAATTTGAAAAGCTATAATTCATCTGTTCAACAAGCTTTATTAAAAACTTAAAAAATGAACTGGATGTGGTGACTCACACCTGTAATCCTGGCTACCTGGGAGGCAGAGGTGATAGGAGCACTTAGGTCTGACAGTGACCACCTAACTGGGCAACCTGACAGCCTCACTGAAAAACTGAAAGGGATTGCAGCATGTCTCAAGGGGTAGAGTAAAATTGCCTAGTAAGCACAAGGCTCCTCCACCCAAAAAGGAGAGTTTTCTTTTTTTTGTTTTTGGTCAAAGTTAAATAAACAGAGGGTAGAATGGGCCAGTTACTCTGAGTTACAATTGGGTGTTAGGTAAGAGGGAAATGTCGACTAAAAGATATGAAATAAGGGAGTACATTCAAGAGATCTATGGCACAACATGGTGACTCTAGTTAGTAACAATGTACTGAATACATGAAAACCGCTGAGAGTAGATTTTTAGTGTTTTCAGTACAAGAAGTTAAGAATGGAAGCCAAGCATAGGTCAATAACTTGATTTAGACATTCCACAGTCCATACATATCTTTAAAGCATCTTGTTTTACATCATAAATATTTATAACTTTGGCCAGTTAAAAAGTGTTTCATTAAAATATGTCTACTTTTTATTGAGACAAGGCTTCACTATATGCAACTATGATGAGGAGGGGTCAGGGTCAAGGAGTGTGTTGTAGGAAATGTAACAGTGTAAAGTATGCCAAGGGTATCGGTGAGTGGTGTGCATGCATGCACCTGAGTAACTGCTCCATGCTAGAAAGTATGGTACTCTACTTTTAAATCCGGTGTCTGCCACAATCCGCAACAGAATTTAGAGCTATGGCACAGTAGTTATGGTAGTAGTTATGGCCAAGAGGTTTGGGATGGAGGAAGTGAAGAATAAATCTTAAGCTTCATGCATTAAGAGTGTAGGGGTAGCCGGGCGCTGGTGGCTCACGCCTGTAATCCTAGTTACTCCGGAGGCTGAGATCTGAGGACTGAGGTTCAAAGCCAGCCTGGGGAAGGAAATTCCATAAGACTCTTATCTCCAATAAACCACTCAGAAACCCAGAAGTGGTGCTGTGGCTCAAGTGGTAGAGCGCTAGACTTGAGCTAAAGCGCTGAGGAGCAGCACCCAGGCCCAGAGTTCAAGCCCTACAACTGACCAAAAACAAAAAAAAAAGGAAGAGTGTAGGGGTTTCAGTGCCCAGGAGAGTTCTTGTGACATGGTCTAAGGAGGAGTGAGACAGGAGAGAATGCAATGGAGATGAGTGGTGATAAGGCCTATATAAAGAAGCAAGAGACATATACTGATGATCTAAAAGTGTGAGTTCTTATCCTGTCAGTAGTAAGGAGTAAACAGTCTTGGGTGGGCAGTGATATGGTCAGATTTTTCATCTTAAATTAGAGCTTAGAAACTTCCTAAAAGTCAGATCGAGTTTTTTCTGCTTAAGATTTAAATATTTTTGATCCGATATTGAAAAAAGCCAGATTTGAGGGTCAGCACCCTCACCGTACACTGGTGCAGTATAAAAGTCAACCCATTGCTTATACAATGATGGAATTAGACCAACTTTTCTTCACGGTAAACTTCATAGGCACATTTTTTTTGTTGTGCTACAGAAAGTTATATTTTAAATTAACCAGCTAGATTTAGTTTAAACAACCAAAAGTTTTGTGGACAATACCCAGAGTATCATCAACAGGAGACACAGAAACATATGGTTCTCTCTGCCAGTCCACACCAGGGTATTTACTGGTCATTAGTGTTACAGAACTTCTTCACAGCCTTTTTGACCTCTGGGTGAACATTGTTGCCTTGTGTCCCCCTTGTGGCCAGTTCCATGGTCATGGGAAAATGGAAGGCATAGTAAATCAAGCTTGTTTCTTTGGAGATGTTCTTCTAAGGTTATTTGGGCTGTTTCTTTTTTTTTTTTGTCGGTCGTGGGGCTTGAATTCTGGACCTGGGCGCTGTCCCTCAGCTCTTCAGCTCAAGGCGAGCGCTCTACCACTTGAGCTACAACGCCACTTCCGGTTTTCTGGTGGTTTTATTGGAGATAGGAGTCTCACAGTCTCTCCTGCCCAGGCTGGCTTTGAACCGCGATCCTCAGATCTCAGCCTCCTGAGTAGCTAGGATTACAGGCGTGAGCTACCAGCGCCCGGCTATTTGGGCTGTTTCTACAGCTCCAGTGTCTTGGGCCCAAGAGGGCCTTGTCCTTGAAGGCCTTTGCTTTTTGGCTTCATCTTTGGGAAATCACCTTCACTTTTGATGTTATCTTGGTGAAAGGAGTCCAGAAACAATTCATAAGTCTCCCAAATCCTGTCACTTCTGGGCAAATTAGGCAGTTAGGCAGCTCTGGGATACTGTTGGAGCTGAACCAGTTACCTCATCCTACAGAAGCCAGTCATGATTGTTATCTCTCAGCAGTGGGCAAAGTACCAGTAATCTCAAGAATGGCCATGAGAACAGTGTAGAAAGTGTAGGCATACTACATTAAAGTAGAAAGAAAAATCAAGGAATTTCAACAAGTATATGGGCTGCTCTCAGGCCAATGGCTTACTTTCTAACTTCTGAGATGTTTCACTAACTTGGCTGTCTATTACTCATGATGAAGATGATCTGTCACAGAAGAAGTAATGAGATGTTGGACCATGTCAATGATTCTCTTAAAAACCTATGTATCCTGGGCTGGGAAGGTGGCTCAGTGGTAGAGTGCTTGCCTTGAATGCATGAGGCTCTGGGTTTGATTCCTCTCACCACATAAGCAGAAAAAGTCGAGGTGGCCTTGTGGCTCAAGTGGTAGAGCACTAGCTTTGAACAGAAGAGCTGAGGGACAGTGCCCAGGCCCAGAGTGCAGGTCCCACAACCGGACCCAAAAAACCCCACAAAAAAAACAAACATTATAAAACCCCCAAAACCTGTGTATCTATCCTTCAAGAAGATCCTTCTCTCCCCGTCCATCCGTCTTCTGATGTGCAATTCTGTGGCTTCCCACGATGGCAGCACAGAATCTGGGGTGCTCTCTGCGCACCAATGGGTCCGCTAAGGTCAAAGCCAGGCCGGGTGTTTTCTCTAATGACTTGGACACAGATGCTTACATGACTAGATCCCACATAGCACGCCTCTTCCCCTTATTTTTGGGAGGGCTCCGTGCATCCTGCTGGTGATTAGGTTGAGCCTCCAGCAGAGCCAGGCCGGGCGGGGGCATTGCCAGCTGACACCTACCTGTCTCCGTCCGCAGAGGAGCTCTCCCGTGCGGGCCGGGAGCGGCCCACACCTGTGGACCGCAGGCCAGGCTCCAGCTGGCATCTTGCACAGGGCCCTTCTCTTGGCTGCCCAGGTGACGCTCCAATGTCGCCCCTTGGCCCCCTGAGAGCCCACCTTCACTCCCCCACGCCACGCCTCTTAGTGGGTACCCTAAACCAAGCCCCTAAAGGGCTGTTGTCATTGAGGCACACTGCATTTTCTAATAGATTTTCACTGACTCATGTACTACAGTATTGTCATACACGGGGTACTAAAAGACACAGTGCCGTAGTCTAGATTATCTCCATCATCTGAATGTGAGTTTCCTACCACTGCTGCGGAACACAAACACAGAAGAACACGAACTGAGTATCTGACAGTGTCTGTGGGATGTAAGTCAGGGGGAGCTCAGCTCGGTCTCTGCCAGACAGAGTGCTGAGTGGTCGCACTGCTGTCTGGGGTCCAGGATAAAGGCGCTTGCAGCCGCTGGCCAGCACAGGATCCCAGCCCCGGCATCTGACCATCTGCTGCGGCAGCCTCTCTGCGGCCATTCCAAGGGCAGCAATGGAGCTGAGTCTCATGGACTTCTGTGCCTGCTTGGGCCGCGAACAACAATCCTCGGGGCTCAGCCTCCCAAGTAGCTAGGATTACAGGTGGTCACTCATTTGATTCAGCTTGGCCCACTCAGATAACCCAAACAACTTCCTGAAGTCACAGTCCTTAACTCGAACGGCATTGCACATTTCCCTATAACCTGTAACACACTTGTAACATACATGTAGCATGTCCCTTTGATACACAGCCACACGGGAGTCCCCCTTTGACATGCAACACAGGGTTCGTTTGTTGTGAGGGAGAAAGACGTGGGCAACCTCGTGGCTGATGTGCTGATGTGATACATACACTGTTCTGGGTATGTGAAGAACTGTCTCATGGAGGTCAACCTGGCAAAGGATTAGAGAGAACTTTACTAAGAGGAGAAATAAGGGAAGAGAAGTCCCCCCAAACAGTTCTCTTGTTATCTCCACCTTGGTACTTCACACTGAAGCATGTTCTGGTCTGGGTAGTGCATATGGTCACCCTATATAGAGCATGTGGTACAGATTTTTGGCCTTTTATTAAAATCATCCTTTTCCCTCCTTTCCTTCCTTCCTTTCTTCCTTCCTTCCTTCTTTCTTTCCTTCCTTCCTTTCTCGCTCCTTTCCTTCCTTCCTTCCTTCCTTTCTTTCTCTCTCCCTTTCTTTCTTTCTCTTTCCTTCCTTTCTTTCCTTCCCTTTCCTTTCTTTCTTTCTTTCTTTCTTTCTTTCTTTCTTTCTTTCTTTCTTTCTTTCTTTCTTTCTTTCTTTCTTTCTTTCTTTCTTTCTTTCTTCCTTTCTTCCTTGTTTAACTTCAGTTGAACTGCAGCCTGACTTACAGTTGAAGGTAGCTGTGTTACTAAGTTCTCTCTAATGGAATAGAGCAAAAAGGATTTATCCCAACAGAAATAGGGATTAAGATATATGAAAATAGAAAGACAATGGGTTTCTAGCTCATAAAGTTTAGCTTGTCCTGAAATTAGAGATGAGCTTAATATTATTCATAAAATGTAAAGTTTGAACCAGGTGGAATAAATTTTTTTTGCAGTTCTGGTTGAACTCTGGGCCAGGGCACTGTCCCTGAGCTCTTCAGCTCTTCAGCTCTACCACTTGAGCCACAGCTCCACTTCCAGTTTTCTGGAGGTCAATTGGAAATGAATCTCATGGATGTTCCTTCCCTGGCTGGCTTTGGACTGTGATCCTCAGATTTTAGCCTCCTGAGTAGCTAGGATTACAGGCATGAACTCCCATCACCAGGCTGAATAAAATATTTTTAATTTAGTTTTATTTAAAATTAACATGTAATTGTTTATATTTATAGAGCATAATGCAATGTTAATATATATTTACACATTATTGTAAGATTAAATCAAATTAATATATTTGTAACCTCACATACCTGTGATGTGTACATCAATAATTTACTCCTAGCAATTCTAAATACACAATATTATTACTAGCAACAGTTATTGTTAATGACACTTATTCCCATTGTGTAGTTGAAACTTTATTTGCTTTGGATAATATGTACATTAATGTATATTGTTAGCTATTTAAAGAGATATTTGATAGCATTGTTATAAAAAATCTCCAAGTTATTAAGTAATGAAACAATGTGATATCATTTGTACTTATATAAAACGCAAATATTTTATATATGCTTGTGTTTATGCATATCTGAAAAGAAAGGCCTTAATTATTGAATATAAAACCATTAATACCTTAGTACTCAGTTATTTTTGCATTAATTGTATTATGATTCATTAATAATAGATATTTTCAGAATAATAAAATTATGACATTGGGTTCTTTTATAATCTTAGACACAAAATAGAGGTTAGATAAATGACTGGAATAAGTTTCAGTAATAATTCCTTACAATGGATCTTAAGCCAATTTGTTTGGTTGCAACATTAAAAATAAAGACTAGTGACTCTAAGTACAATTTATTTCCTTATTAATTTTATAAAAATAAATTCCTATGAATATAATTATAATAGTTTTACTCTAGGCTTGCATAACTTTATGCTTCAAATATGAAGGAAAATTTTACAACTTATCTGTGTTGGCCTATCTAGTTCCTTCCTTTATTTATCATATTTTCCAGTATATCTAAGGTATAATTAGAATCATGGGCAATAGAGTCAGACATACCTGGATTTGGTAGTATACAGAATAAAGTGACATCTGACTTTTATATCTTAACACACTGGGGGAAGTGGCCTCTGGCCTCATGCTGACACATAGTAGAATATATGCATTGGTGTAGCAGGTTCTGGTCAGTGTGGGATAACTCATGTTCCATTGGTTGCTGGATGTTCTACTCATTCTCATTGTAAGCTTGTAGCTTTTCCTTTGGCTCAGATATTTTTGTTGGTGGTGCTTCTTAGATGATCCAGCTTACACAAGACTTCCTCTGATATTACAGATACCTTCCAAAGTTTGAGTTAAGTCACCCATTTGACCATATCTGGAGTGGTATTTCCTTTATTATAGTCACTTTTCTTCACCATGCCAATAAATAGGCAAATATCCCAGCCTAACTCTCAACCAGTTTCATAAACTAAGATGCACAGGAACTAAAGGTAAATGCTGAACCTCAGGCCTTCATCTGCCTGCCTATTCATTACCATATGGTCAATGTTGTATTTCCTAGGTCTCTCTACATGTCAGCTTCCTCCCCGTGTTCCAGACCAAGGTGAGGGGGTTGGAGCAGAGGATCTCTCTGCTTAAGGACTTGTTTCTATTTCCTAACACTTGTCTCTTCTGCTAAAGATACCATTGGGATTTAGTCTTCGGGCTATTTTCATTTTCTGCCTCCTTATTCGATACTTCTTCCTATAGTGTCCCCTAGGACAGATGAAAAGGTCTTATATTTTATTTTTACATTATATCTTCTTTATTCTTGACTCCAGAAAAGGCTTATCAGCAGTTCATGAGTCATTACTTTTAATGGGGAAATTCATAAGCCAAGTTTTCTGAATTTAGTTATATTTAAATGGTAATTAGGAAAAGTGAAGGGTCTTTAGAATCAGATTCTCTCTTAAGGCATCAGCCTTTTATGCCACAATTACTGCTTACCTTGTTTCACAATTCCATTGTTCATATGAAAAAACAGCATTCTTGTCACAAATCTTAATGACATCAGGTGTAGTTTTGGTAAGGTCTCAAAGAATGTTGGTAAATTTTAATTCCTTATCTTTGTTATATTACTTACTGTCATATATAAATTTTTGACACAAAATATTTGAATTAGATATCTTGGGTTATAAGGAATACTCAGATGCTCTAAAATACTGGAGTATTTACTGTATTTACTGCTAACTTGTTGCAGTCAGTAAGAGCTGTTTCAGGCTAACAGGCAAAAACAGAATTTAAAAGGATAGAACATAGTAACACATGGTATTCAGAGAGTTCCAAAGTTAATGGTTGTCAAAGAGAGAGAGGAAACAGCTCTTAAACCATTGGACCTATATTTCTTTGGGCATGGCTTACTTCATTTAATATAATTTTTTCCAAGTCTTTCCATATCCTAACAAATGAGGTGGTGTCATTCTTTCTGATGGAAGCATAGAATTCCATTGTGCAATTTTCTTGATCCATTCATTTATTGAGGAACATCTGGGTTGGTTCTATATCTTAGCTATGGTGAATAATGCTGTGATAAACATTATTTGTGCTGCTGGGACATAGCTAACAAGGTCAATAGAAAGCCCATGGATTGGGAAAAGATCTTCATGAGCCAAACAATAGACAAGGGCCTCATATCTAAAATATACTTAGAATTCAAAAAATTAGATCTCCCAAAAACAAATCCTCAAAGAAACAACTGCCCAAGAAATAAGTGAGCTAAAGACTTGCAGAGAAACTTCTCTGAAGAGGAAATAAGAATGGCAAATAGACACATGAAGAAATGCTCAACTTCTCTTGCCATAAAAGAAATGCAAATCAAAACATTGAGATTCCACCTCACCTCAGTTAGAATGGCTATAATCAAGCAATCTAATAACAACAGATGCTGGAGGGGATGGGGCCAAAAGGGAACCATACTGCATTGTTGGTGGGAATGTAAACTTGTTCAACCACTTTGGAAAGCAGTATGGAGGTTCCTTAAAAGACTTCATATGTGTATACTATATTTAATAATTATGATATGCTACAAGCCAATTTTTAAGCTTTTCCTTGTTTTTTAAATTGTCCCCTCAACCTACTGTATTTTATTCTT